AAGCAGGGAAGGGGCGGAGAGAGAGGGAGGGAGACAGAATCCGAAGCAGGCTCCAGGCTCTGAGCTGCCAGCACAGAGCCCGACGCAGGGCTCAAGCCCACAAGCCGTGAGATCACGACCTGAGCCGAAGTCGGACGCTCAACCGACTGAGCCCACCAGGCGCCCCGGTTTTTACATTTTTAAAGTGTTGTGTCTAAAAAAGAATGTTCAACAGAGACTGCACAGGGCCAGCAAAGCCTGGCATCTTTACTGTCTTGACTCTTCACAGAAAAAGTTGATCGATTGAGTCCTGCTGTAACACATCCCTCTCCAGGGCTGATGGAGCGAGCAGAGGGAGAGTCACTAAGGGTCAGAGCATAAGAACACAGTGCACACACTTGACCTCCTCAGCATATAGATGTGCACCCCAGCGTTGCAGGACAGAGTGTACATGGGGACCGCTGGCATCGACCGTGTGGTGGTCCTAGTGCCAGCCAGTCTCAGACCGTGGAGGCTGTCAGTCTGCTTTCTGACCACAGCAGAAGTGAGCTGGAAACCAACAGTAACGCAAAAATTGAAACTCCCAATTATTTGCAAATTAAATAGCATAGCGCTGACTAACTCATGGGTGGAAGTAGAACTCACAGTAGATATGAAATAATCTGAATGACAGTGAAAATGGTAATATTGAAGTTTGCACATGAAGCTAAAAGCTGTTCTTAGCAGGAAATATACAGCATCGAATGAATATGTTGGGAAAGAAGGAAGGCTGAGAGCCCGTGGTGTGAGTTGACGTCTCTGTAAATTAGAAATGAGCAGGGGTGCCTGGCGGGCTCAGTTGGTTGAGCGTCTGGCTCTTGATTTCAGTTCAGGTCATGATCTCCCGGTTTGTGGGACCAGGCCTCGCATTGGGCTCTGCGCTGACTGCTTGGGATTCTCTCTCTCCCTCTCTCTCTCTCAAAATAAATAAACGTTAAAAAAAGAGAAATGAGCAGATCAAACCCAAAGAGTGTGACAGGAAGATCATAAGAGCAACTATCAATAGGAAATCATAGGAAAGGAGAAAGCATAAACGGCCCATTGGAGCGGCATCCTTGCAGGTCATGTGGGCACTAAGGAGATAATGAGAGGGTATTATGAAAGCATTACAGCAGTGAATTTGGAAGGTTAGGTAAAATGAACGTACTCCTCAAAAAATACAGTCTATTTAGTAAGACTGAAACAGGAAGAAATAGAGAATCCAAGTGGTTCTAAATCGGTTGAAGACATTGACCCTGAATCAGGAAACCACAAATCCCGATGGCTCCTAGCGAACGTCCCTAACACCTAAGGAGGAAGCAGCATCACTAATCCAACTTCTCTTAATGAATCCAGCAAAACCTTGGTACCAGAGACAAAAACAAATGAAAATTATAGGCCACTCTCTTTCATGAAATTAAATTCAAGACTTCCAGATAAAATGCTAGCAAATTAAATCTGGCAATATGTAAAACTGATACAGAGTTGATTTAACATTTGAAACCAGTATGATTCACTGTAGCACAATAAATAAGAAAAAGCATACGGTTTTGTTAATGGATGCAGTAACAGTATGTGATTCAATTCAGTACCTGTTCATGATAAAACCCTCAGTCCACTAGGGTTAGAAGGGCACTTCCTTAATCGAGTCAAGATTAAAATCCACGGCAGAAATCACACTTAATGGTTAAATATTGAAAGATTTTCCTCTCTAGTGGGCGTGAGTGTGGGGTACCTTCCTTCACCATGTCTGTCGAATCGGAAGCCATGGCCAGAAAAGTCAGAAGAAAGAAATACAAGGTGTAGGGTTTGGAAGAAATAAATAAAACTTGTCATCGTTGACAGATGACATGATTACGTGAATGGAAAATCACATCTACAGAACCATCATTAGAAGTAATAAGCAGATTTTACAGGTGCTAGATTCAAAGCATATACAACCCAACTGTATTCTGTAAAACAATACCAGGTAAAAATAACACCCCAATTTTATGTTTATACTAACCTCAAAGAAAAAACAAGGATAGGAAAAAACAAAAGTTGTATAAAATCTCTACATGGACAGGCACAAAACATTTCTGAAAAAACCTAGCTTGAAGAAGACTCACCATTTAAAGGTGTCTGTGGTCCCCAAAGTCATGTTAGAATCTGTGCGTTTCCTGCACAAAGTCCGTGCAGTGGCACACGGGAGGGCAGTGAGGACAGCCTTCACACTCACAGCATGAGACAGCTTCACAAGCAGTGTCACCATAAGCCAGAACCTATGCTGCCTGATTCATTTCTGTAAATTCACAAGCAAGTAAAACCAGTGACAATTTGAGAGGCTGGTGGGTGCTTACCATTTGGGGGCAGTAGGGGTGACAGGGAGGCCACCAGGGCTTCCTTATGCTGGCAGCATGTGCTTTGTCGCCTAGGTGTTGGTTACACGGTTTGTGAAAATCCAAGTGGCACACGTAGGATCTGTGCTTTGGGGCTGGCATAGCTCATGTATAATTGGGATGTATGATCAAGTACACAAGGGATGAGCACAAGACATGAACAAGAATTGATTCCATTACAGAAAAATCTGCCCAATTAGAGAATTTCTCCCGGCGCCTGGAGAAAATACGTAACATCTGTGTTAGGCACATTGCCCATTGGTCTGCCATTGAGTAGGCGCTGTGGTCTGAGCATTGGGGTGAGGCCCACGGTGCTGGGGCCAGGGTGAGGAAGCTGAGGACTGCTCACAGTCTGCAAGGTCGAGGCAGAGAAGAGGGGGTGTTTTAGACCGAAGTGGTCCCGTGGCACACTGTCCGGTTGGGAGGGCTTAGCTGCATGTGGCCCTGAGCACTCGAAGTGGGGACAGTGCATCTGAGGAGCTGACCCAGTTTGGTTTGTGGTTCATTTAAATTCAAATATCACACATGGCTCCTGGTGGCCAGCTCTGGTGGTGCAATTCTATAGATGGACAGCTACAGCGTGTGCATAGATGAGGAAGTGCACGGGCTCGATGCACTGAACACGCAGTGATGATGGAGGGTTCCTGAAGGGCAGTGAGGTAGGTCGTGTGTCGGGGAACGGCCGGCCAGCACAGGCCTCAGCTGGAGAAGCCTGTAGAGCAGGGAATGAGGACCCCCACCTTGAATTAATCAGCGTCCCCGCAGCCCCACAAACCTCTTCTGTGGTGGCTCGTTTTAGGACAACTTAAAAAGCAGTGCTATACAACAAATACGTTTTCTTTTTTTAAAACGTTTATTTATTTTGAGAGAGCGTATGTGTGCACACGTAAGCCAGGGGGAGGAAGAGGAGGAGAGAGAGAATTCGACTCCACGCTCAGCAGTGAGCCCAACGCAAAGCTCCATATTACAACTGTGAGATCATGACCTGAGCTGAAATCAAGAGTTGGATGCTTAACTGACTGAGCCACCCAGGCGCCCCAACAAATACACTTTCCTTAAACCTTAGATTAACTCTAGGGTAATCACAGTTGGTGATAACTTTCTTAAAATGATGATCTTAAAATGATCAATAACTGAAGTGAACCCTTAAAAAGGAGTTAAAATGTCTTTGATTTATTTTGTGGTTGATTTTGGTTTTATGAACTCTATTAGAGATGCAGTGACATTTAAAATAGCCACCATTGGGGGCGCCTCGGTGGCTCAGTCAGTTGAGTGGCCGACTTCAGCTCAGGTCATGATCTCGCAGTTTGTGGTTTTGAGCCCTGCATCGGGCTCTGTGCGGACAGCTCGGAGCCTGCAGCTTGCTTCGGATTCTGTGTCTCCTTCTCTTTCTCTCTCTCTGCCCCTTCCCCACTCATGCTCTGTCTCTCTCTCTCTCTTTAAACTTAAATAAACTTGGGGCACCTGCATGGCTTAGTCTGTTAAGCATCCGACTTCGGCTCAGGTCATGATCTCGCAGTTCGTGGGTTCGAGCCCCACGTTGGGCTCTGTGCTGACAGCTCAGAGCCTGGAGCCTGCTGCGGATTCTGTGTCTCCCTCTCTCTCTGCCCCTCCCCTACTCATGCTTTCTCTCTCTCTCTCAAAAATAAATAAAACATTAAAAAAAAAAAATTTTTAGATAGCCACTGTCGAATTGGAGCAGCCTAGGTCAACCAGACACCTACAGATTTAGTGGAGCTAACCTTGACCAAACCATGTGGACATGTGCTTAGGTGTCAGTTCACCTGTGTGCGTTCAGCACAAGCCAAGAATGCCAGAACCGTGAGCGGCGGCAAGCTCTCACCGAACGCAAGAGCCCGCCTGTAGCACAGCCACAGCCAAGCACAGTGAGCGTGTGTGATGTCAGGGTAGATCTGGCAACGAAAAGAGAAATTTAGATTCGTATGACCTTAGTTTGTGAAAAGTTACTCACCAGCCCTGTGCGATAATACCTATAATTGGAACAACTGAGTGTGATTTTTTTTTTTAATTTTTTTTTTTCAACATTTATTTATTTTTGGGACAGAGAGAGACAGAGCATGAACGGGGGAGGGGCAGAGAGAGAGGGAGACACAGAATCGGAAACAGGCTCCAGGCTCCGAGCCATCAGCCCAGAGCCTGACGCGGGGCTCGAACTCACGGACCGCGAGATCGTGACCTGGCTGAAGTCGGACGCTTAACCGGCTGCGCCACCCAGGCGCCCCGAGTGTGATTTTTTAAGAATGCGGTGAACTCATCGGTATCTCAAATGATACTCTCTTGGCTTCTCTTCCTTTGCCTTCGCTTTTAAAGAAACTCAGAGGCGAGTACCCCTGAAGGAGACGACCTTGCAGGGTTTCATGGTGAACCGCAGCTCTGACACGTGAAGGAGCCGTTCCGAGTCGTAGCCCGGTGGGCGATGTACGCACAGGCCCGGGCAGATGCCTGAGGTGTGCACAGTGGGTGTGCGAGTGAGCACGCACACTCACGGGTGCCGCTCCCTGTCACGTCCCCCTGAGCAGCAGAGTGAGCGCACAGCGCTGAGGGGCAGCGTCCGCTTCCCCACACGCGTGACCCCTTCTTTACGTTCTCCGTGTGCCCCCACAGCTTGACTACATCGACGCCCGAGCCGTGCAGCTTGGCTCCCTGCTGGTCCGCGGCCTTACCACTTTGGTCTTGGTCAACAGCGCGTGCGGCTTCCCCTGGAGGATGAGTGACTTCATGCCCTGGAACGTGTTTGACGGGAAGCTCTTCCATCAGAAGTACCTGCAGTCGGAGAAGGGGTGCACCGTGGAGGCTCTGGTGGAACAAAACGTGAGTCCGTGGTGGTTTCCCATTCAGAAATAACGAACAGGCTTGGTCAGGTCTCAGAGGCGTCATCAGGCTCAGAGTCCTTGGCCAGACGTCCGTTCTGTCTGTCCCAGCGGCCACCTCAGGGAGGAAGGCACACACACGTCCCAGAAACGTCCCACTGGAGGGGGCTCGCATTCCCACCTGGGATCTTACACCGTTAGCACAGATGCTGCTTACCTTGTGCAAACCACTGCTCTTCTGACCCAGAAAGCCAGAAGCGCGGGATGGGAGGCCTGAGGCCTCAGGGCCAGCGTACGTCCTAGCTTCCCCTGAAATACCACCGTGGGGCTTGAGTCCCCCAGACTCCCGCTGAGGGAGAATGCGGAGCACCCCGCCCCGTCCAGCACAGCCCGTTTTCAAGTGCTTTCTCTCCTTTGCCCTTTTTGAGTGAAGAAGGAAGGTTTGTCCAGAGGTGACCAACCTGATGTGTATTACCTGAAAATGTTCCCTGAAGGCTGTGGTTTAGTCAGGGACATGGGCTGCTGTCCTGCTACATGAGTGCAAGTGCTCCGTGGTTCCTGGGAGGTCTCCACACGAGGCCCCTGTCAGGCTCACGTGGAGTGTGCATGGATAGCCGCAAGTGTGCGTGAGAGCGCGGGGTCCCAGGAGGACTCCCCAGCTGTGAGGATGACGAACGCTGAGCTTCGCATCAGATAGGAAACGTTTGGAGAGGTGCTCCCACCTCCGTCCCTCACGCGAACAAAACCAGGGCACCCTAGGGGTTCAGGGGTTCAGGACTGAGAAGCAGTCTGGAAATGTTATGTGCAGCAGCGGTGGGGGAGCAGGGAAGGGCATTGCTCAGATGTGACTTGTCACCGTGTGTGGAACTGATGCAGGAGCAGAGCAGAGCCGACTGCAGCCACCACCCGTGAGCCCCCAGTCGTGGCCCCATGTCTGATGTGGTCGCACACCAGGTGATCGCACTTGTGGTTTAAAACAAGTCGGGGCAGATGGGGCCGAGTGTCAGCAGTAAATGAGGCAGCACGGAGGGGTGAGTCTGCCCGAGAGCGGTCACCAGTCAGGTGACGGGCCCAGGTTTGTTAGGACCGCCCGGTGGCGGCCCAGATTCACCACAGAGCTCGACCTCTTGGCAGTGACCATCAAACCCGTCAGACCAGAGAGGGTGTAGCGCTACCTCAGGAGAGTGTCGGTTTTCTGAGAAGCTCTCGTTAAGTTTCAGCCGTGAAGGGAGTGCTCGCCCAGTGTCCTCGGACACCGTGGTCACTGTTGTTGTTTCCAGAGGGCGCGCACGGGCCTGACGCTGCTCACGCTGTCTGCTCTGTCCGCAGAGGTCCCGGCTGACCAAGTTCCACGCGCTGAAGTCGGTCGTGTGCAAGGCCTGCGTGAGGGAGAACCGGCGCATCGTCAGCAGGCAGCACTGGCACTCCCCCCAGCCAGGTGGGCACCGGGCCAGGCCGCGCCGTGCAGCCTGCCACCCGCTGGCTGCTGAGATCGGGAGAAAGCGCGCACTTAACGCCACAAGGTGCCACCCAGCCTTTTAAATCCTGGTCCCTTGAGGAAAGGCATCTCAGATGCGTTCTGCGTGTCCCATGACCGAGAGCTCCACTGTGGGCCCGTACTCTCCCCTCTCCTCTCCTCGGCTCCCTGCAGCCAGACGCTGCTTGCGTGGCATTCGCCTGACCAAAGTTGTTTCTCTTCCCAGTAAAAGTATGTTAGGAACATTTAGCATATAAAGAAAACAGATTTTAAAAAGGAAGCGTAAATAACGTGTATTCCGTCCCCTAAAGATAGCAGATGTTGGCAGATGATTTTTTGCAGTATTTTTCTGTGCTTCTACCTCATTGTGATGATCTTCTGTGTGGCTGTGCGTCCTCTGTGTGTCCAGACCCCTCGCACCCGGTTCGCTGCTGTGCCTGGTGGGAGAGCTCTGAAGTGGCTTCCGTTTTATGTACGTGATTTTCTTCAAACAAAGCAGCAGAGCGTACAAATTATGGAACGAAATGCAATCGAATCTTAGATAAATCTTGCCAGCTTGTCTTCTAAAAGCCTTTTGTCACTTTATACCTTCACCAGCAGTGATGAAGAGTTTGTTTCGTGGCCCCTTGTCAGCATTGGCCGGGTGTTGGTTTTTTTTAACTAACTTCATAGATTAAACAGTGTATCTCACTGACTGGATGATTCTTTAGCACTGAAGTTGACGTCTTCTAGATTAGCTGCTCGACGAGTTTTTATTACTTCACGTCCTCCATTGGTGAGGGTCTGTGCCTGTGACTCTAGCAGCCCCATTGCTTTCTTTGGTGGAATCTGAGAACTCACCCCTGTTCCGACCCAGCAGACTGTCTTCAGGGCCTCTGCTTGGTGTCTGCCTTGCTGGTCTCACTCTGAGAGGCTTTATGTCGCGAGGTCCGTAAGCCCCCGTTGGGCGCTGTGTGTGGGACCCCGCGGCCCACAGGAGAGCCTGGGGGGTAGGAGCGGGGCCTCCAGCAAGTGAGGAGGGCACTTCCTCCCCCGAGTCCCGGGAGCGACAGACTCCCGCCTTGTCCTGTCCTTTTGTCTCTGTTTGGCCTCCTCCTGCCAACTGTGGACAGGCAGGATTTGACCCCAAAGCGAGAGCTTGTTCCTTGCAAAATACATGTGTGGCATTCTGCCTCTGTCGCCTGTGCCCGAACCGGTCTGCGTCCTGTCCTGCACACACAGTGCCTGGGTTCCCGAGCGGTGGCCGGAGGCTGCAGATGGCAGAACGCAGGCTGCTTGAAGTTGGCAGGAGACTCTGAGTCAGACTTTCTCATGAAGACGGTGTCAGAGCTTAGGAATTTATGAGAGGAAACGCCAGAGCAGTTGAGTGCGTGGAGGACTGGGAGGGGCACGCACACCTTGGTCTGGTTCTCGGGGTCCCAGGCCCCCTGCTTACCCAGAACCCAAGTGCAGGGGGTCCAGAAGCTGTGCTGGCAGCCTGCAGAGCTCAGTCCCCAGGCCTGGGAGGCAGGGGCCCTGCTTGGTTGGAGCCCTGACAGAGCGCCCCTGCTCTGCCTCGGCGCCTGCCGGTCTGCTCGTCTGTCACCTGCACGGGGTCTCCCGGGGAACGTGTTTAAATGTGGACGTCCGACTCCCACCCCCCTCGGCCCAGCTGTGGCCCCTCAGTCTGCATTTCTCACGGGCTTTCCCTGTGATTTAAGGGTACCAGAAGTTTGGGAACTACAGACCTGGTGCCACCCTGCTGCCCTCGTAGACAAAATGTGTCATTTGGGGTTAGGCATGTGGTGGCCTCCTAACGTGCTGATCACGTGTCCCTACAGGCAGGTGGGGGAGGCAGGGATCCGGCTCCCACAGGACGAGCTCCGGGTACAGCCGGGCAGGCCAAGGACAGCACTGGAGGGATCAGGGTCCAGGTAAGAGGCCGGCGGCCATGGGCTGCTCGCGATGGTGCTGTTTCAGCTTCGTGCTTCTGCTGAAGGCTGGCCACCCGACGTCTGTTTGGGCGTCGGTTGGTGTTTCCAGGTAAACAGGTCATTATACTGATGATGTCTGATTTCATTGCTGAGTGAAGTAGAGACCAGTAATTTCCAAGCTCGGCGCTAGTCGGTCTCTGCTCCTTGCCACTTTGTTTCTTCTCTATCAATTCGTTTCATCTGTTTGAGACCCATTGTTTTTATAAGTTTGTCAAAGAAAGGTTCTTGTAAAGGTTTCATGCACAGGGATCCTTCTGATGAAAAAATAGCACAGAAAGTAGCATTTTGCCAGTAGCAGCATTTTGATATTTTCTGTGATCTGGCTTGTATACAGAAGAGCCTCTTGGGTGATCCAGGAAATAAAATGAATCCTTTACTTCTTGGGTGTGTAATACAGATGTCTGATTTTGTGCGTAAAACTGAATTTAATATGTAGTAGTTTACGTTTTAAATACAAAGAAAACCTCATCAATATTTAAACTCAAAATTCCTTACAGTTTTGAAAACCTAACTGTACAGATCTTATATTAGCTAAGGTTTACAATTTTATCCTTGCAAATACAAACATGCCTTTAATTTAATTTAGTTTTTTGCAAACTCTAAAATGTGTAGAGATTTCACAGATTACTCACATTGTCCCCCTAGAGCACAGCCAGTCCGTGTCATTAAGCAAAGCCGCCTTTCTCGGTCTGTCTGTGTGGGCGTCCACGGTGTCTGCTCACTTGGGATGTTGCTGAGGGGAATGCGAGCCTCTCGTTCTGGCAGAAACATCAAGGGTCTGCTGTACGGTTCAGCGCTGACCGGAGTTCATGGTGACTGGTTTTGAAATGCCCACCCTTGGGGACAGAGGGCAGGCAGCTCTGTCAGATTCGTAGCTGTTTCAGGTGGCCCTTTTAGCTGGCGAGCCTGCACAGTCCACCTGGCCAGTCCTGCCCACCGTCGCCTGCAGCTTCTGGACGGTTGGCCAAATGCGTGTAGCAGTGTCCCGCCCTGCCCCCGCCTCGTCCAGCGTAGGCACACGGTGCCTCCACCTAAACCACCTGAGGGTTGGTGCTGGTGCAGCATGACTGGGATTAAGGCACATTCCTTCTTTCCGTTGTTTCAAGTATATTTGAGATTGCTTTTAATTTAGAAGGTAGTGCAGTTTATTGAGCTGAACCACAAAGAGAGAACCCCGAAGACGAAGGAGGGTTTGTAAACTTACCTAAAGTCAGACTCTGACACCCGGAGCTGTGGGCTCGCGTCTGCGAAGGTGGCACTCCAGGTGCCCTCTGGTTGGACCCGTTGTGTGTGCACGACGTCAGCGCTTACTCAGCCTGTCGAGCTGAGCTGCCCTAAGGGTGCATACATGCAGCAGGTGGCCCCCCCAGCCTGGAGGCTCCACAGTGTGTGGCCTTGCCCCGTCAGGCTGTCTGCCTCTCCTTGGGGCTCCTAACTTGTTAAGAACGACACGTCTTCCAGCAGCCAGGCGGAGCCGGACAAATGCACATGGAGTGTGCATCTCCCCCGTCTTCACTGGGGTCCGAGAAAACCCCTCTGAGAGGTGGTGTTGAAGCAGAGACCCGGTGAGAGGGAGCAGCCACCAGAGGCCTACGGGAGGGGTGTGCGCAGAAGGCGGGGCCCTCGGGACCCTGTGTGGCTGGAAGGGGAGCAGGAGGCAGGCAGCAGAGGAGCTGACCTTTCAGAGCCTCACGACACTGGTCAGAGCCCTGGAAGTTCACTTCAGATGAGATGCTCCATGTGTCCATTCTGGAGAGATGTTCCCTTAGTCACCAGACCACCACCCACAGATCTCAGAGCCTGTGGACCTTCAGTACAAAGCTGGTGACGAGCCTCTTCTGTAATGCTAGCAGGGTGTGACCTGTAGGCCCCCATCCTGTGTTTGAAATACGTGTGTGATGGGCTTGGAGCGGAGAGCGGGTCCAGCCCTGTCCGTCTGCATATCCCGTCCCACGGATGTTTAAGTAGCAGGACCCTGGGTCCCTGTCACCCTTAAAGCTACGGTGCTGTCAAGCTCGCAAGGCCCTGGCCCCTCCAGGTGAGGATCAGAGTGCACCCACCGAGCACAGGCAAGCAGAATGAGGGCAGGCGTGCTGCACGCCTTCCAGGCAGCCCGGCGTGATGGGGTGTACGTGGTCCTCCCCGCGTTCCTCTGAGCAGATGACAGAGGCTCCCCGGCAGCCGCTCTCCCCGACATCACTGCTCCCCACGTATGGCCTGGTGTGGGAAATGGAAACCTTCCTCTTAATCCCCTTTGGCTTAGGCTTGTCTCCTTTTCTTCCTGCTGGTGTTGCAAGTCAGGAAAGATGAGATAGTACGAAGTCAGGGAGAGGAGGGCTGCAAGGGAAGCCCGGGCACGGTAGAGGGGAGGAGGTGACGAGTTCTGCGGGGAGGTGAGCACAGTCACCTGGGGTGGGACAGACGACCACCACGTGCGCATTTCCGCTTCCAGGCCGCCCGCTCACGTGCTACATGCCCTCAATCACGGCCTGGCAGCCTTGGTGTCCTCCTGGCCCTGAGCCCTGTGGTTCCGCCGGGGAGTAGCGACACCCGAGTGATGATGGTGGCGCCACTCTCAGACATGCCGTCGAGGACGTGCCTCACCTTGGCCCAAGCCTGGTGCCCTTGAATTCGAGCTTTTCGGAAAAAGAGAAGGCTCTGCAGGATTTCTTAATAACTCATCTCCTCTCTTCCCGAGGAGGCCTGCTGCAGTGGGTTCTCACGGGCAAGCGCAGCCTCAGATCCTGGGCTCAGCACTCGCCCGTGGACCTGACCCTAGCAGGTCGCAGGGCCTCTAGGTCTGTCTGCCGTGAAGGCCACACAGAAAGGGCTTCTCGCTTCGGGTGTGATTCCCCCACCCACAGGACCAGCCTGGATTTCCGGGAACATTGGGAACTCTCGGGGATGTTTGTCAGGCTGGGTGCTAGACCACGGAGAATCAAGGAAACGTTGATGGCCTCAACGGCCCAAGCCTGCAGCTGCTTCAGAAGCGCCCTGGTTTGAACCCAGTCCCTCCTCAGGGGACGGGACCGCGGTGGTAACATAAGAGTCCGGGAGTGGTGGTGCCTGAGGGATTGGGGCTGAAAAACGTGCCCGGGAGACCTCGGTCAAAGGCAGATGCGGTGGCTTGCGTTAGGGTCAGATGTCAGAATTTGGGGACGGGGATGCGGGCCTCCAGAGCACAGTCCCTGGCACTGGACGCAGCAGCACGTGCAGATTTGCCGAGCGGGACATCGTGTGTCAGCTGCACTCAAAAGCAAAAAGAATGTGGGCGTGGGGGCGTGAGGAATTGAAAGGCTCCTGCAGGACAGTGGTTAAGCACGGACACCGTTTCATTTGCATTTTGCCTCACGTGGAAAAATGTTCACAAAAATTTTGTTGGTGGTACCAGTATGTTTTCCAATTTCAGATGTGTCTGCATAAAATACATGTTCACACGCGTATGTCACGCCTTTTATTTGTTAGGACTGGAGCATTGTTTGAGGTCACGTCATCCCCTTGTTCAGCTTTAGTTGCTGTAAAAGAATTACATCGTCTTTACTTGGCCCCCACACATTTTGCTGGGTTTTATCTACCCTTGAACTCCTATTTTAGCATTTTTTAGAGGTATCTAAGTAGTCTAAGTAGAAAGTTGTCAGTACTGCCTGGACAGAGTTAATGGGAAAAATTCTTTGTTTTAAGTGAAAAACTAAAAACGCCTCGGAATGAACATATTGAGTTACTGAGACAGTTGGGAAGTTTCCGGGGCCAGTGCCTGCCTGGCCCGATGGAGGAGCGGGGAGCCTGCCCACTCTGCCGGGCAGGGAGACTCAGACACAGAGCTGCAGGGCCCTTCAGCGGCACCAGCCTCCCTGTGAAGCATTTGCTTCCAGACCTGTGAAGTGCAGTGGGGAACATCAAAGCCGCTAAAGTGAGAACATTTGAACATCTTCCTTTCTGTTGGTGAGACATGTGTTAAATTCCACAGTCAGTAGCAAAGCACATTTGCCTGTGATTTCTTGAGCTTCTCACTTATCGGTGGTAAGGTGGTAATTCTGTAGGAGGCCTGGGCTGTTGTAAAACCACCTCTGGTCATCTGTGATAACAAGGTGGGGCCTGGAAACCTCATTCTGGCCTTGCTGTGACCTTCTCCTGCCACCCAGCCCTCTGCCAGAGCCCCTGCCAGCCTCACACTCCTGGGAGGGACAAAGGCCACCCTCAGTGGGAGAGGCATGGGCGTCGTCAGTCAAGCAGAAGCATGGAAAGCTTTGTAGGAAAAGTGTCATTTTCTGAATGTGAAAGCAGCCACCTTTTTTGATGGCAGGCTGGCTGTCTTCTGGTTCTCGCCTGCCACTCCCTATATAGCGGGGGACAAAAAGTGGCCGGCTGCGCTGGGAAGGGAACCTCCGCACTCAGCTGTAGGGCCACACGTTGCTTTTTCCGTCCTTGGCAAAGTGTCCTCCGTGAGCCATCTGCTTACGAAGTTCCTTTCCCAATATCATTGGCAGCAGAGGCCGTCTAGATTCAGTGCAGGTGGTTGGACACTGCTCCGTCTAACAGCAGAACCGCCTCTTAATTAATTGCTTCCTACTCTAATGGAAAGTGTGTGCAACAAACTTTTAATCACAGTGGCAACATCAGAGAAGAGAGTAATAAGTTATGTCCTCCAAGTACAACTCAGCATGTTTTTATGCATACTTAGAAATGTGCGGTTTTCGCAGTTTGAATTTAGAGAAATGTAATTAACTTAGTTTTGGTCTGCATGTCTGTTTGGTGCAGGAAATAGACAGTATGAGCCTGACCATTGGAGAAGATACTCCTCTTCCGGGTAAGTGCACCTCTTACAGCCTCAGATAAATCCATCTAATCAAAGATGGAAGTCAAGTATCTGCCTTTGTAACCTAAATCTTTCATATCAGTTGCTAAACTTTAAAATAATTTAGACGTTAAATTCTGACGTGGGGCTAAGTGAACACGGTTTTCAGATAGATGAGTTTGCTTCTAAAAGAGTGTGGACAGAAAGAGACCCCGAGTCTGGACTTAGAGTCCTGGGGATACGCCCTTCTTGAAAGTGAGGCGCTCAGAACAGCATAACAGTTGTGTCCTTGGGGAGAAACAGTCTGTGAGGTCTAGACCTAGCTTTTCATGAAAAGGAAAAACATCCTTTTCAGTGACTTCTCCCTTGTATCATACAAAAAAGCTCTCTGTTGACTTATTTTCAGAGGTTGTGCCTGAGTCCGTGGCCCCAAACAGTTGTTAACAACCATAAGTTCTTCATCTGTGTCTGTGGGGAATGGTTGTTTTTTCTTTTCTTTAATGAGGTGGAATCTTACTGTGTCTTGCTTTTTTTAACTTAACAGCAGATTGTAACGATTGGAGACATGATGCCCTGTGGTTGTAGAATATTCCAAGAATTGCTTTCTAATTATAAATACAGAGAAAGAAGTCACAACCTCCTTCTCGCCTTCCTGGCGGGAGACCCTGCTCTGCATGGAGGGCCCAGCCCTGCCTGGGAAGCATAACAGTGTGTGGCCCGCGGGTCTGTTCCGGTAGTGTCGTCCTTTCCATTTTACTTTTGCCGGGCCCCAGCTCAGAGTTCTGACAGCAGTTGTGTGGGGCAGGCCTGGGTCCATCAGACAGGAGGCCTGGGGTGGGGGGGGGGGGGGGGGGGGGGTATGGGAGGAGGCAGTAGTTGAGTGTCAGCAGCCTACTTTATGACGCCACTAATGAATGGTTCATTTGTTGCTCTGGTCTGAACATTGAAGGGGTTTTGTTTTTAAAAAACCATCCTAGACACATCCAAGTTTCATGGGAGAATTTTCAGGTAATTCAAGAATTGAAATTGTAAGGCCAAAATTGTACGGAGCTCAACCCCTGGGGTATTGACAATGGAAAGAAATCTAGATTAGAGGTTAGGAGACAAAGGCCGTCCACCACACGCCGTGGCTCTGGAGGTTCCCAGAAACTCTCAGAAATGTGCGTACGTGTTGCCCAGAGGACACGTCCAGCTGCTGCTGTCTGGAAAATCCAAAGAAGCCCTGAGCATAGTCACAGTCTGGTCTGTATATTGCGCTGGATGAATTCCCCCAACAGCTCAAGTATGCAGAGCTCCTGGCTTTGTCTTGCCTGAAAATCCCAGCTAGCATTTACCAAAACAGGGATACAGTCTCCAGATATTTTTATGTTTGAAGCATCCTCACCACTTCCTGCAATTCCTTATGAAGGACATTTCCATATCTAATTACTTTTCATGCAAGTCTTGTAGGACCTACAACCTAATTTCCCATCTTTACAAATAAATTTTTTTCATTCTACTTCTGGTGTTTCCTATCTAAGTAGTAATATTCTTTCATTTCTGCTCATTGGAGACCACTGCTGCTTCTAGAAGTTTCACTTCTTTGCTGCTATTTTTATAACTTTGAGATAAATTCTCATCCCTTAGACTAAAAGAGTAGACCTCCATGAAAATTATTTCCCCCTTTTATAATATCTGAATTCTAACTTGAGAACAAAATATTTGAGGTCCGTTAGCAAGCTTAAGTAAGCCATTGAGTTTGTATAATCTTTCTTGGGTTTGAAAAGCCAGTACAGTAAGTTTCTGTGATCTTGTTATTGTTCCGTAGGTTAATTACCTCTGCAGCCTAGTCTTTTGACAAAATGTCCATATATCAATTTAAAGGTGAAAATAAAACAATATATCACTCATAAGTAAATATAGTTTCAGGGATGCCTGGCCAGCTCGGTTGGGCGTCCGACTTCAGCTCAGATCATGATCTCACGGTCAGTGAGATCAAGCCCCACATCGGGCTCTGTGCTGACAGCTCAGAGCCTAGGGCCTGCTTCCGATTCTGTGTCTCCCTCTCTCTCTGTTCCTCCCCCACTTGTGCTCTCTCAAAAATGAATAAACGTTAAAAAAAATCTTTTAATAATACAATAAATATATTTCACATTTCTTTCATTATTTGGACATTTCACCATCCAATATGTTGGGATCTTGGTGAAGGAAAAGATGTTGAATTTTGTCAAATGCTATTTCTGTATCAATTGAGATGACCATATAATTTTTTTATTCTTCATTTCTCAATGTGGTGTATCATGTTGATTATTCTGCATATGTTGAATATTTCTTGCGTCCAAGGGATAAATATCACTGATCAAGGTATATGATCCTTTAAATATGCTGTTGAATTTGGTTTGCTGGTATTTTGTTGAGGATTTCTGCATCCTTGTTTATCAGGGCTATTGGCCTATAGTTTTCTTATAGTGTCTTTGTCTAGTTTTGATATCAGGGTATCATGGCTTCGTAAAATGAGTTTGGAAGTTTTCCTTCTCTTTCAGTTTTTTGGAAGAGTTTGAGAAAAATTGACATTAATTCTTCTTTCAATGTTTGGTAGAATTCACCAGGAAAGCCTGGTCCTGGACTTTCCTTTGTTGGGAGCTTTTTAATTACTGATTCAGTCTCCTTTCTCATTGATTAGTCTGTTCAGATTATCTGTCTGATCATGATTCAGTCTTTATAGGTTGTATGTTTCTAGGAATTCATTTGTTTCTTCCAGGTTGTCTAGCTGTTGGCATATAATTGTTCATAGTAGTCACATCTGTAGTATCAGTTGTCATTTCTCCTTGAGTGATCTTTTTCTCTTGTCAGTCTAGCTAAAGGTTTGTCAGTTTTGTTTATCTTTTCAAAAAACCAATTTAGTTATATTTATCTTTTTCATTGTCTTTCTTGTCCCATTTATTATTTTTCTTTTAATCTTTGTTCTTTCTGCTGTCTTTGGGCTTAGTATTTTTTTTTTCTAGTTTCTTGAGGTCTAAAGTTAGGTTGTTGAATTGAGGTGTTTCTTTTTTCTAATGTAGTAGGCATTTATTACTATAAATATCCCTCTCAGAACTGCTTTGGTTGCATCCTATTAGTTTTGTTTCCCACTAGTTTTTGTATGTTGGATTTCTGTTTTTGTTTGTCTCAAGATACCTTTTGATTTCTTCTTGACCTACCTGTTGGTTGTTCAAGAATGTGTTGTTTAATTTCCACAGATCTGTGAATTTTCCAGTTTTCCTCCTCTTATTGGTTTCTAGTTTCACACCATTGTGATCAGAAAATATACTTAATATAATTTCTATCTTGTTAATTTTTTAAAACTTGTTTCATGGCCTAATCTATGATCTAGCCTGAGGAATATTCTGTGTGTGCTTGAGAATAGTGTGTATTCTTCTGTTTTGTAGATGTCTGTCAGGGTCATCTGGTCTAAAGTGTCGTTCAAGTCCAATGTTTCTTTATTGATGTGCTGTTTAGGTGACATACTCACTGTTGAAAGTGGGATATTAGAGTCCCCTCCTGTTATTATATTGCTATCTATTTTTCCCTTCAGTTGTGTTAATATTTTCTTCATATGTTTGCAAAATGTATCATCCTTTCATGGTAAAAGCTCTCAACAAAGTAGGTATAGAAGGAACGTACCTCAACTTAATAAAGGCCAACCAACCCATAGCTAGCATCATATTCAATAGTGACATCTTTCTCTAAGATTAGGAATAAGAGCAGGATGTCCACTCTCACCACTTCTCTGCAGCATAGTACTAAAAATTCTAGCCAGAGCAATTAAGCAAGAAAAAGAAATAAAGGAAGTAAGATCTGCTTGATGACATGATTGCATATGTAGAACACCCTAAAGACTTCATCCAAAAACTGTTAGAACTTTGAATGAATCCAGTAAAGTTGCAGGACACAAGATCAATATAACATTTCTATATGCTAACAATAGATTATTCAAAAGGGAAATTAAGAAAATCTAATTACGGTGGCATCAAAAAGAATGAAATACTTAGAAATAAATTTAACCAAGGAGGTGAAAGATCTGTATAATATAAAGTACAAAACACTGATGAAAAAAATTGAAGACACAAATAAATGCAAAGATATCTTGGGTTCATGGATCAGAAGAATTAATATTGTTAAAATGTCTACACTACCCAAAACAATCCACAGGTTCAGTGTAATCCCTATTAAAATTTCAATGGCAGTTTCCCCAAAATAAATAATCCTAAAATTTGTATGGAACCACAAAATACCCCAAATACCTAAAGCAATCTTGAGAAAGAATAACCAAGCTAGAGGTGTCACATTTCTTGATGTCAAACTATATTACAAAGCCAAACTAATCAAAATAGTGTGGTATTTACATAAAAATAGGCTCAGAGCTCAATGGAACAGAATAGAGAGCCTCATATGTATGGTCAACTAATCTTCAAAGTGGCTCCGAGAACACACAATGGAAAAAGGACAGTGTCTTTAATAATTTATATTAGGAAAACTGAATATCCACATGTGTAAGAATGAAATTAGAGCCTTAACTTACATAAAAATGGATTAAAGACTTAAACATAAGATCTAAAATTGGAAAACTCCCAGAAGAAAATATAGGGAATAACCTCCTTGACATTGGTCTTGTAAATATTTTGGATATGACACCAAAGCACAGACAACAAAAGCAAAATAAACAAGTGGTACTGCATCAAACTAAAAAGCTCCTGCACAGCAAAGGAAACATTGTGATCAAAGTGAAGAGGCAACCTATAGAATGGGAGAAAATATTTGTGAACCATATATCTGATAAGAGGTTAACATCTAAATATATAAAGAACTATTATAACTCAAGAGTAAAAACAAAACAAAAAACAAGCCCCCCCCCAAAAAAAAACCCCAGATAACCCAATTGAAAAAGGGGCAAAGGAAATGAATAGACATTTCTCCAAAGAAGACATACAGGTGGCCAACAGGTACATGAAAAGATGCTCAACATTTCTAATCATCAGGGAAATGCAAATCAA